CTTGAAAGACCCGGTCGACTTCTTGGGGTCGGGCGCTACATCGGTGACCTCTTTCTTGATGGCGGCGAGCTCTCCAGAGGTGATGATTGCCGCGGTGTGATCGCAGCACTCGACCTCACACTCATAGGCACGCTGGAAGTAGGTGCCGACGGTGATGACCCCACCAGGGCCTGGTATCTTCAGTTTGAGGTAGGTATAGTTGGGGATGGCCATGAACTTCATGTAGCAAGGACATCCCAGGATGGCGTGGTAGGTTCTAGGAAACCTGACCACCTCGAAGGTGAGAGTTTTCATCCTATAATTGGATGGATCCCCGAAGGCAATGGACAGATTGATCTGCCCAAGTGGCACGAACTGCTTTCCGGGCATGATGCCATGGAAAGGTGCTCCGGTTGGGCCGACGCATGTCCGGTCGATGCCTATTTCGTCGAGCGCCTTGGCATACATGATGTTGAGGCCGCTGCCTCCATCCATCAGTACTTTGGTGAGCTACTTTGTGCCGACGATCGGGTCGACCACGAGCAGATATATCTCCCGGATGCAGGACGCTCTCTGGGTGGTCGGTCCGATCGAAGGTTATGGCGGACTCTGACCACCGGAGGAAGGTAGGTGTGACCGGTTTGGTCGTATAGACCTCGCGGTGCGTGACCTTCTGATGGCATTTGGAGTCGTAGGCCACCGATCCTCCGAAGATCATGAGGCAGCCATCCGATGTTGGAAAGCCGCTGCCCTTCCCCTCGGTGTCATCCATGGTGGGGTCAGGGTCCTTCCCGTGCTCTCCTTTGTTGGAGCCTCCGGACAAGAACCGCCTCATGAGGCTACAGTCTTTGTACAGATGCTTGACCAGGAAGGCATGGTTCAGGCATGGCCCCTCGAGTTGTTTTTGAAATGGTTCGGAGTGCCTTTCGCAGGCTTTCGAGTACCCCGGCGGTCAGCGGCGGCCACGAGCGAGCCCTCGCGCTGTTGCTTCTTGTTCTTCCTTTTGGTGGAACGATTGGAGGCACCTTCATCGGCGTCCTTGTCCTACCTTGCCTTGCCATCGAGACGATCGAAGATCGCTCCGACCGCTTGTTCTCTAGAGGCATGGCTGGTGGCGATGTCTAGGAGTTCCTTGGTGGTTCATGGGTCCTTGTGTCCCAGCTTATGAACCAGAGACTCACAGGTGGTCCCGGATAGGAAAGCTCCTATAACGTCGGTGTCGGTGGCGTTAGGGAGCTCGTTGCACTACCGGGAGAAGCGCCAGATGTACCCATGGAGGGTTTCACCGGCCTTTTGTTGGCAGTTCTTGAGGTCCCATGGGTTCCTAGGGTGCTTGTATGTGCCCTGAAAGTTCCCCACAAAGATCTCCTTCAGGTCCACCCAACTCTGGATTCTGTTGGACGGCAGGTGTTCCAACCACGCTTGTGCCGAATCGACCAAGAACAGTGGAAGGTTGCGGATAATGAAGTCATCATTATCCGCACCGCCGGCTTGATAGGCAAGCCGATAATCTTCGAGCCATAGTCCGGAGTTTATTTCCCTAGAGTACTTCGGGATATTGGTTGGTGGTTGATACCTTGGCGGGAAGGCAGCGTTGAGGATGTGTCAGCCAAAGGCCTGAGGCCCTGGCAGGCTGGGTCTTGGGCTTTGGTCCTCGCCACTGTCATAGCGCCCGCCACGGCGAGGGTGATAGCCGCATCTAGCTCCCTCTCTCAGGTGGTCGTAGGCGCGTCTACGGGCGTCGAGGGTGTTGCGCGCATCATGGTCGCGCCTAAGACGCTGACACACCGAGACCGCAGTGTGCTGCCTACTTACTTGTGGTTCTTGGTGAACCGATGCGTCCCTGCCGGGATGCTTCGAGGGCGTGGGCTGGCTAGCGTTGAGCTCGCGTCGCCGAGACAACGAGCTTTCGGCCTGCTGCACCTCCGCACGCTCGAGCAGTGTGCGAATCTCATGGTGGGCCCAAGGATCCTCGGGTGTCGCGGCCTCTGGAAGACCATGGAGCAAGGCTGCCGCAGCGGCTATGTTCTAGCTTGCCTAGGCGAAGCGAGGAAGGGCTTCATCGTCGACAATGATCCTTCGGTTCACGTCATGGGCCATGGCACGTGCGCGCCCGCCGTCTCCGTGGCGCTTAATTTCCCAATCGAACTCTACGCATTCCTACTCGAGCTGGAGCCGCGCTTCCTCTATCTCTCAGTGTCTGGCTTTTAGCTGCTCCACCCGCATTCAAGGTGGGGCCGCTGTCTCCCCCTCGGCCTCATCACTGAGGTTGTTCACTGGGGTAGCCTCCTCCTCGTGAATGCTCTTGACGTGTCCCTCGGGAACATCCGTCATGAAATATTCACGAGAGGGATGATGGCTTCCCCTGCTGGAGTCAGAGCCAGAGAGCGACTCTGGCTCCTCTGCCAGGAGGTCGTGGAAAGATTCCGAGACGTGTTTGATCACCCCTATGAATTCGTCGTTCGTGGGAGGTGGGAACATGCGTTGGGCCACAAGATGGCTAACGGTCGCCGTGGCGTTGCGGAGACCGAACGGGGCACTCCGTATGAGGTGTTCCAAAGAGAGGGGTTCCCCTCCGGCGAGCCACTCCATGACACTGGCGTTAGAGAAGGTGAGGCAGCATGGGTCCTCCATGGGCGGCTAGGGTCCTAGGGAGACACCGAGCTGGCGTCCAAGCCTCCCGTAGTCGAGGCCGATGAAGGGAGAGGTTGGATGGCGGCGTGAGGCAATGCCAACTCTCCTCCCACCATGATGATGAAGTCCAGGTCCCCGAAGCGCACGTGTGCGCCCGGGACCCAGCTGATATCGTGGCTAGCCATTCGTGGCCTAATGTTACTGTCGGAACGTGCAAAGGCCCCTACCTGGCGCGCCAACTATCGGTGTTTCGAGTAAACACCAACGAGTAAATTTGTATTATTACACGTTGGACCCGGATGGTGTGCTAAAAGATACAAGGTTTATACTGGTTCGGGCATAATGTCCCTACGTCCAGTTTGCGGCTGTTGCTCGTGTTATTAGCATTGAAAGGTTCGTAGTAGGGGTTACAAATGGGCGAGAGAGGGACAGATCCCAAGTATATGATGGAAAGGTTGAAAGGGCGCTGAAAGCTTGGTTGCTGCTCAGCTGTGTGTTATGTGTTGCGTGGTGTGTTCTATCAATCCCCCCCCTTAGTGGGGTGCCCTGCTTTCCCTTTTATAGACCAAGGGGAAGCAGGGATTACATATGGGAGAAAGAAGAAGAACCAGAGGCCAAGAAGGAACTTCGAAGGTGTCGGGTCTTTCTTTTCCTCTGAGCCAGTCCTGCTAACACGGCAGACGGTGCCAGAGATAGCTCCATGCTGGGCGTCTGTCTGTTGATGATGCCACGCTCTGACTTAATCAGCAAGTGGTCACGTCCCATCCCGCCTCGGTGGGTGGCGCGATGGACCAGAGTGTTGATCCGTAACCCTACGGGGAGCGGACGGCGCAGTGACTGCACGTCCGTCACTGTAGAGGATGCGAGTCTCCTCCTGACCGTAGTGGTTGTTGTATGGTTCCGTTAGAATCCGCGCCCGAGGGCCAATTGCGGCGCCCACAACACTATAAAATAAATGTCGGCGTCCACAACACCGTTCGGGCTCTGACATGTCTGAAAGGGCCTTAAAGCGCCCGTCCAATCATATCCTGACGGTACTTTCCTGCAGGCGTGCAGGGTATGGTCCTCGGTATTACGGTTGACTTGAGTGCCCTGCCTTATCCGCGCGTAGTTATGAAGGAGCAGTGCGCAGACGGGCGCGGATCCACCCCCTGGACGTCGGGCGAGGCGGAGCCAGCCCTCGGACGTCGGGCGAGGCGGAGTGTGCCCTCAGACATCGAGCGAGGCGGAACCAACCCTCGGGGGTCGGGCCATACGGAGTCTGCCCTCAGACGTCGGGCGAGACAGAACCAGCCTCCGAACGTCGGGCGAGCTCGGGGTCGGGCGAGACAAAGTCTGCCCTCAGACATCGGGCGAAGAGGAGCCTGCCCTCGGGAGCCAGCTTGAGGCGGGGCCCATGGTCTCGGTCGACGGACGAGGAGTGACCCGGCGAGCGGTGTAGTCACGCTCTCGATCGCGCGGATGAATCAACGTTGATGGCCATTAGCTCCTCTTCTTCGGGTACCCTACTATTGGTCCCCGACAAGTATGCCATCCAAAACTAAAGTCGTCCACAACATAGACAAGAATCCAATGGGCCGGGCAGCTGGCCTGCTCCAAGCATGACCCGGCAAAGCCGTACCAGTCTTTCTAGTATCTATACCTAATAATAAAGAGGTAAAATTTCCGATTATTTTTTTCGTCCATCTATTTTTTTTATATGGCTTTCTCTAACTAACTCCGTGAATGTGAAAACTATTTCTATGTCTCTCTTTGACTCTACTGTTTTTATATATGATAACATATGTCTTTATGAGGTAACTTGGATAGGTACAAATCAAAATCATAATCCAACACGAGTTCTTAAGGTAACATATATAGATAGTTGAAATCCTAATCCAAATACGATCGATTGCCGGCCAAGTGCTCTCACACGTCCGTGTTTTTATTCCCTCCGAGAGTCCCTGTATTGTTGCTCGTATAATATTGCCGAATACGATTTTGATTTTGTTTGATCGTGTGTCTCCAACCAGGACTCGTTGGTGTGCCGTAACATGGCGGGATTGTTCTTCATCACTGATTCTTTCCATACATTAATATATCTGCTGAAAATTGGAAAAAAAAAAAGGACTCTCCATTGGTTCGGATTGGACTGTGGAAGTATACTAGGAAAGTATCGGGAAGTACCAAAACACGTGTCTCGATGTTCTGGAACTAAACGACGAGTCCCTCGAGTCCTTTGGCAAGACCCGGCCGGCCCGTCGAGGTCCGCCGCCGCCCCGTCGAGCGGCGACGGCAGCAGGAACACAGGGATGGGCGGCGCCACCTTCTTGACGTCGGCGTCCTTAGGCAGAGGAAGTGCAGCGTGATGGGGTGGAGCGCGTGGCGGTGCAGCGACAGCTTCTGGCTCAGCGACACGGTGTCGAAGCACTTGACGTTCCCGGTGGTGGACACCATCCAGGGCAGCACCTTCTCGCCGCCGACCCGGGACAGCACCAGCAGCTTGGACGCCCTGCGCGCCGCGCGGTGCAGCTCCAGCGCCAGTCTCGTGTCGCCCGGACGGCCCGCACCACGCCGATGTCCACGCCGTGGTAGTCCTCGAAACCGTACAGGCTCGTGTTCGCCATGCCGGCTAGGTCCGACAGCGAGGCCATGTTCACAGTCGACAGCACCGTCTCGCCTGAGAACTTGGTCAGCAGCACCTCCGTCTGCACGTTCATGAACACGAAGGGCACGCCGGAGGCCTGCGACGACAGCAGCCATGTGTCCGCGCGCGCGAGGGTGTCCTCCAGGGAGTTGTAGCGCGTGTTGGACCCGTCCGTCGCCTTGGGCAGCAGCAGCAGGGAGAGGAAGCAGCTCGCCTCCGGCACCGGCAGCAGCTCCCTCATCTTCTTCGCGCACGGGAACGGCTCGTACGCGTGGCCGATCTTGACGTCGGGTCTTGCTCTTTTTTACGCGAATTCTCCGTTAAAGCTCCACCTATTACTACCCTTCTCTCACTTAATTTATTTTTACTGATTTTCTTTCTTAAATTAATTGTTTGTCAAAATAAAAATACAAAGTATCTAAAAGTACTAGCAGTACTTCACAACCACCGAAACAAGCCTCTTTTTAAATTTGTTTTCTTCATTGTACGATGGCGCGTACCGTGCACCTTCTTCAAACGGCGCCGCGGATGCCGGTTGCAGCTGTACGAGAACGCGCAGGTCGCTGGCAATTTCGCATCGTGTAGCTCACGGATGACAGGTTCTAGGAGCCTTGCCAGTGTTGGGTGGACGTGTTTGAGTCGATCAACAAAAGGCCCCGAGGATGGTGTACAGCGTTGGGTGCCCCGTGAACTCCGACGTCGTGCTGGTACGTGACCTGCGGCAGCTGTCGGCGTCGGCGTCGGCGTCCGAGAATCTCCGTGATCTGCTCATCGAAAGGCGGGGCCTGTTCGCTTAAACTTATCAGTCGACTTATCAGCTACAATCTACATTATTTTTCTCTCATGACAAAACAGCTTTAGCCGACTTATCAGTCGGCTTTAATACCAGCCAAACAGGGTAGTGTTACAGTGCCAGATGCCCATCTTGGCAAGGACTCCCGCCACGGAAAGCCAGGTCATGTGATAGCGGAGTGATGAGTGAAGTGCGACGTCTATGTGAAGTCTGAAGATCAACGGCCGGCGACCGAGTGAAGAGGGACGTCTATGCGTTCTTTTAAGGCTCGGCATCCATGCTCACCGGGCTCGGTGCACGCCACCGCAGGGCTCTGCGTTGAGGCCGCTAACCCACTTGTCGGCACGGAGTGGGCGCCCACCCCAATCTCATATCGGAACGCTGGAGCAAACGGGCGTGGAGAGGACCGCAAGTACAACGCAGGTAACCCCTTTTCTCTCCTCCCTTTCGCGGCAGTGAAGGACGTGGGTGTGTGACACACAAAGCTAGATGACAGCTCCAAGCAGCGCGCTTGTCATAAGCACCGTGGTAGTACGGCGCCAGTGACTGCCTGGCCGTCGCTCTCACATCACAGCGTAGACATAGCAACTGCGTGGTTGATCGTGAGCCGTTTCCATATATCTTAGATCCCATGTGCTATCTGCCTGGTGTTTGTTCGACAGGATACCTCGATAGGAAGTAAATATTCTTGTGTTTTGCATAGGAGAAATAATCTAACAAAGTTGTATCAATTTGATATAAACTTCATAGGACTCCGTTCTATTATTGTCATTATTAACTTATATTATAGCTGACCAATTTCATAAAAGGATAAAACATAGCAATATATTCAATATCTTATTTTATCTCGTTGCAACGCACGGACATATTTGCTAGTAATAAAGATGCAAAATTTCTCACCATTTTTTTTTTTTGTCCGGCCCTCCCTAACTAACCCTATGAATATGAAATTGTCTAAAGTCTCCCGTATTATATTATATATATATATATATATATATATATATATGACATATGCATTATCTAGAATTCTTCCGTATTATATATGACATATGCACATAGATAAGGTAACCTGGATAGCTACGAATACTAATCCAAATAGATCCCTTGATCCTGAACAACCTGAATAGAAATCCTACTTCACCTCAACTAATAGAGGCAAAAAAAATTACCACCCATTTTTTGGTCCGGCCCTCCCTAATTAACTCTATGAATATGCAAATTGTCTAGAAGTCTCCCGTATTATATTATATTATATTATATTATATTATATTATATTATATTATATTATATTATATTATATTATATTATATTATATTATATTATATTATATTATATATATATGCATCTAGAATTCTCCCGTATTATATATGACATGTGCACATAGATAAGGTAACCTGTATAGCTACGAATACTAATCCAAATAGATCCTTTGATCCTGAATAACCTGAATAGAAATCCTACTTCAGATAGAAAAGAAGATTTCAAAAATATTCAATTAAGGTGCATATATGAGTTCGTTTCCATTTAGTTTTGCTTTTCAGAGTCCGTTCCGTGTTGGCTATTTTTTTTACCGGTTCCTTCATCTGCTGATCTGTTTTTTTTCCTACTGGTTCCTTTGTCCACTTGGTTCGATTTTTTTTCTACTTGTTCATTAACTCTGGTGGCTTTTCATTTTTTTTCCTTGATAAATTGTGAAAAAATAATCAATACAATATTAATCGTCTTTGGATCATTAATCCTTTTCTAAAAAAAACAAATATTCCCATCACCAAATGATTAATAGTTTTGATTAAAAACAAAACTTATTTTTAGTAAAACCTAGATCAGTTCATGGTCCAACTAATCAAAAGTAAACTGAAATCTTGAACAATTTAGATTAATGCTTTACACGTTGGCAAGTAACTCTTTAGCGACTTTAATTAGATATTAATATTAAAATTGTATATTTTTATGGGGTCATAAAGAAAGCAGCAAAACTCAATATTTGGCTATATAATAATAGTACATAGATAGTTTGAAAATTGAAGTTATGATATATTTATACATTTAAAATATTTCTTTGTTTTGTAACAGGACAAAAAAGATCTAACAACTCGTGTCTAGCGATAATATGGAGTCCGGTTCCCGTTGCAACGCACTTTCACGTAAAAAATTAAATATTGCGAACATTACATTCAATTTTATAGATAATAATACAACACATTTTTAAACTTAAATTATTATGATATGTTTTTTCTCATTACAACACACAAGCATAATTAATCGGCTCATCATGCCGTCGGTCGGGGAGATGGACCATATCAACACACCATGTACGGTTGCGCTGGCCGCGCCATATCAATTGGCCCCGTCCAGGAAGAAATGTTAAAATCGTCGAGCGACCTGCAGTACACGTACTTACATTGTACTGGGCCCACGTGCATCCCAGGCACTTGTTCCCAGACCGTCGTGGGCCTCATTGATTGTTGGGTCGGTCATATTTGTTGGGCTGGGCGCTGTACTTCCAACAAATAGACTCAACGGGGGGGGGGGTTCGTTTTTTTATTTTTTAGTCCTTTTTTGAAAGTTTTTCACAAATACGCCCCTGAGGGAAGATTTCAGAATCTGGACCCTTAGCTCGGCGCCATCGATGCTGGCGCCGAGCTAACACGTCTCGATGCCATCGTCCCTAGTGCCGAGCTCTTAGGCTCGAGACCAACGTGGAGGTGACATTGGCGCCGAGCTCGGCGCCGTAGATCTTAGCGACGAGCTCGGCGCCAGGGTGACTGGCGCCGAGCTTGTGTTTTAACCCCGACCCTAACCTTCCTGCCCGAGTCTTCTTCCTCTTCTTTCTCCTCCCTTTCGGGTTTTTTCTCTTTCCACTTCGCCCTACCTCGTGAATCGGCATATTGGACCTTGAAAACTTTGATTTGATCTTTAGATCTTCGAGAGCAAGGTATCATCGCTCCCCTCCTAGTTTTTCACATCGATTCGGTATATATTAGTCGGATTTTTCAACCTAAGAATCGTCATTACTTAAGGTTTCATTCTATCTCTCAATATTTATATTATACAGCCGTAGGATGATGCCAAGGAGTGAAAAAGCTAGCAAACCTAGGCGCATGTAGTTATGTTATGGGTTCATTGTTGTGCATCAAATGGAAAACCTTAGGTTTAGGGTTTAATGTTAATTGCTTTCGGTTCTTAGAACGAAATTGGTTGTATTGTAGTTATGGTTCTCATTGATATTTATTTATAATGTTTTAATTTATGTTTGTTAAATTATATCCATTTGGTTAGATGTAAGAAATGTTTCGGGAGGAGTTTTGATGAAAATGGGGTCATCCTCAAGAATTATACCCCGACGCGTCTAGCAAAGATGCCCCCGTCTCTCCTGACCTCCCTGTCCCTAACTGTGACTGTGATTTCCCGGCCCATGTTTTTCAATCAAAACATCCGGACACAGCGGCCCAAGTCGAAAGTCCCGACCCAAGTCGGGAGTCCCGACCCAAGTCTATATGATACGATTGGACTATACACGCTCTAATGAATTTACATTTAATCTGTGTACTATATTTGTGCCTTTTTAGCAGTGTAGTATGATTAATGATTCACGAAAAAAATTCGCAAGAGTTTCTCTTGTTTCAGGAGCATCCACAGTTACAAACAGAGATATCATTATATAATCCAAACATTTAATCATCCAAAGAGTGAAATGCAACCACAACGAACATCACAACCAACATAACATGTCCTGCACAGTCCAAATAGTCCATAATGTCCATACAGTCCCAAATAGTTACAAAAAAGTAAATATAAAATACATAATAGTGCATACTGACATCTACCACAACCCTCACTGCCTCCTACTCTTGCCCTTACCCTTGTGACCGAGAGCGCTCGTACCTAGAGTGTAAGGGTCACGCGGACGGCCTCGCCTAGTGCCTGGAGGTGGTGTAGGCTGAGTCGAGGGAGTGTCATGGAGCTGAGAGGGGCCAAGATCCTCGTGCCTCTAGTCCACGTCGTCGTCGTCGTCCTCGTCCCCGTCCCCTGTAGCTGCTTGGCTAGAGGAACCCAAGCCTCCTCTGCCTGGGGAAGGAACGTACACGTCTTACGTCATGTCTGTCCTGCAACCACAACGAGTAGCCGCATGGCGTAGCCGACGTGACAGCCTCTGTTGTACAAAATTATGTTAACTGAAAGAATCTAACGTATTAATAATATGTTTGAAAGAATATTTTGAATCTTACGTCCAGAAAGCTAAGCATGTAGTCGTCCCTAACTCTCGGTCGAATGCGCTCAATCTCTTCAACGGAGCATTTGAGTGTATTGCCCTGCAACAAAGTTCTCAGTAATAATACTTTTGAAAAGATAGCAATAGGTTTTGTTTTCTTTTGTACAAGAATCTAACGTATTATAAGGGTGATACGGCTCGAAGGTGGCACTAACTAAAATTGATAACTCCTAAT